AAAAACTAGGACTGAAAAAATTTTTCCAGATGGAAAAATAAACAAAACCACTAAAATTTAGTGAAGCAAAAAACACTCTTCTCTATTTAGGAAGTGTTTGGCATGAGCAGCACTAGCAAGACCCAACACCCCCCAATGACACAAGCTAATGTTACCTAAAGCCAATACTCACTGCCCATCAATTAGCTAGTTCTTAATGCTGCTTCAAGCACTGTACTAGCAACTTTGATCTTTGTTTCCGATTCCTCTGTACACACATTTATATACACACATAAACATCTATTAAACATGATTTTAAAACAAAAACCTTATGTACAAAATACCAACATTCCTATAAATAAACAGTTGGAGAAAGGCACTTGCAAGAAAAGTCTACAGTAAATCTTACAAAAAACACACTGCCTCTGATACTGTACAATAGATCATTTTTCGGCAAATCCCTATCACAAGAATGTAAAATGCTAGTTACCTGTTATGACTAAGAATATAACTGTTACAATTGTATTTACATAAACATTATGCCTTTTGAGCCTCACTTGAGAGCACCATGATTTCCATCTTACTTTTACTACATTTTGATACAAAGTAAAAGAACAGTTGCCAGAACCCAATGTTCATATTTGTATTTCAAAAGAGGGATCGCTGTAGATTTATAAACTTGAAAATGGACTTTTGGCTGAAGTTAGCATAGTTTAAAGGACTCCACTGTTGCTTTGAACTCTTTAGAAAGTACACCTATTTTGTTATTGCATGTTGTGTTTTAAAAAGAGCACTGCTATATTACCCCTCTGCAATTGTTTAATACTATTGCTGGCAAAAAAGTTCCCAATATCAAAAAAATTAAAAAAAAAAATCTTCAAGCCAGTTGAAGGATCTAATTCAAACAATAACTAAAAAAGCTGCATATTATAAAAGTGTGTAGGAAACAGGCCAACTAATCTGGTGTGCAAAAATATTTTTCCACTACACAGGATTTTAAGGGCTTCACAGAATTACCCAAATTTACATTGAGTAGTAACCCCCACATGAATAGCCAGTTCCTCAAGCAGATGTTAGTATACTCCCACTTTTATCAAACTTTTTACCCTTTGACAATGCTGCAACCTGTTTGAGTAGTTCTCTGTTTTTGGCCTGTAATACAGATAAAAAGAAAGTTTTATAGAAATGCTCTCCTGTTTAAACATAATAAAAGCAATTTTGCAAAATCCTAATAGTTTCCATTCCAATATCATATCCACTAATGACATGGCATGGAGACGCTGACAGTCTTGTGAATTTACAACAACGCCACTGCTCAAAAAGCTGTATTCTGAGATAATCAAGGACATAATGGATGACATTTTCACCACAGTGTATGGTATTTACAGCTACATTACACATTTTCCATTGATTTTACATGGTAGATGGATCGCCAAACTCCTTGTACCACATTGCAAAAATCAATATCTATTTTTTTGTATCAGAGAAACATTTGTTCATTCTAAAATGTACAAATGAATTGGTTCCAGTTTTCCTACTGCTCAAACAGTTGCTTTCAGTGTGGCTTACATCACTGTACTGAATGCAAACTTACATGGTTATGCTAAGTCATTAAGTCAGATAAACAGGTAAATAAGCATTCCACAAAGTGGGAGGCATGCTTCTAAGAGGCAGAAGCAACCTGAATCAACCAGTGGGCAAGGACAGGTCTCAAAGGTTTTTATGTTTAATTACAAAGACATACTTGTACCATGTCTTGAGTGTTAACTCATATGGAGAAATATACCTGAATCTGCAGATAGCTACAAACAACTTAGGAGAGTGAACGAGTGTAATGAATGTTAAGCTGGATAAAATAACAGACCATAGTTCAATGTTTAAAAGTATTTACATAAAACTAACTCTTATAATGACACCTTTAACTTAAACTATTTTGTAAAGTAATTACCTGTAGTTGTTCCACAGTTTCCTTGTGAGCTTTTTCCATACTGTTCATCTTTGTTCTCAAATTAGATTCCTGGTATTGAAAGTCTGCCTTCAGCTCTGTCAACTAAAAAATACAACAACTTCTATGAGGGTTTCCTGGAATGCTGTATTATATTGTTTTTAACTGTACTATTTCACAGGTCCATATGACAGGCACCGAAGGCTTCAGATTGACCAGCTAAAGAGTCTCAGGGGAAATAGGTTCATCATCATGTACTTTTAGTAATACCAGCTCAATAGAGTTAAATTTTTCATAAAAGGAGTATTTAATTTTGCTATATGTGAAATAATTGAACACAGATGTCTGTATTTATTTTGCTCAGGAACTGGATATAGGGTCTAGCTCCTCAATAGTGTTTCTAATATTTGGTCACACCAATTTAAAGTGCTTATCCATACTCTCAGTTACAAGACTGCTTTGCAAGTCTTTGGCTGCAACATGCACATAATTAGCGTAACACATTAACTTGTAACACCTCCAGAGATATGATAAAAGGATTCCTTAGAGCAAGCCCTTTCTCACCTATAAACTGAAAGTAAATTTCAGTGGATCCATAAAAGATGCAAAAATCTAGAACTCTTGGTTCCAAAATGATACCTTTTATTAGACCAACTGAGAAATTGCAAAAAACGATCTTTTCTTTTACAAGCACCAAAGTGATGGAGAAAAAAACATGGGAAACATATATAGCAAAGTTACTTGCTCCTGGGTCTCAGATCCTGAGCACAAAATGGGCAGAAATGGATCCTCTAAAGGCATTTTAACTCTCAAGTGCAGTGGACAGAAGCATAAGCCATTCTGGACCACTCTGGTCAGATTTACCAGGAAATGAAGCCTCCACAGAAGCAAATAAGCCAGATATAATAAAGTAATTGAGATAAAATAACAACTAGCTTTCTGAAAAATTAACTATCCTAAGAAAGTTCCCTTCTGACCTCAGTGGAGCTGAAAATCTTCTGAAAATTGCTCTTCTTCTGAATATAATGATTACATGGGATTTTTAGAGTAGAACTTTTCTGGACCTGCCTGCAAAACCCAGTTGTTTGAAAGCAAACAGATTCCTGAGACAGGAGGCCCTAGTGCCTAATAAGCTGCAACTAATGTTCACACTCTTATCCATCATAGATAAGCTTCTGATGTTTGTCCTTCAAAGGCTAGCCCCTTTTAGTTTAGTTTAATATCCTCTTTGCCCAGAAAGACAAAGTAGTTACTAGGGGTGCACCGATAGAGATTTTGGGGGGGCTGATGCCAATACCCAATATTTAAGGAGGCATATTGGCCGATACCAATCTGATA